CCCTTCTCTGCCCCACCCTCCCCGTAGCCACACACTGCCTGCTCCCCAATCTGAGTACCCACATGCTGCCTGCCCCCCCACGTCCCAACACCCACACACTGCCTGTCCCCCCTCAAATCCCAACACCCAACGCTGCCTGCCTCCCAAGCCCCAACCCCCCCATGTCCTCTCCCCCCTCCCCCAAGTCTCAACACCCACACTCCACCTGGCCCCCACAAGTCCCAATGCTGCCTGGCTGCAGAACACCCAACGCTGCCTGGCAAATACCAGTCATGGGCAGCCAAAGAGAATCGACTGAGAGCCAGGAGCGTTTTGTAGGTCTTTCGATGATATCGATTGAAAACGACCTGTGTAAAGAAATGGACTTTACTGACATAATTGAAGAATGTGCTGCCAAAAGAGCTAGACAGCTATAGTAGACTTAAATATAAATGAAAATTTTTAATTATTAATGCAGAATTGTGTTTAAGAATGAATTACAATATAATTAAAATAAAAAATATCCAACTAAATTAAATTTCTATCAAATTTACCCAATTCACATTTAATATGAAAAATAACTTTCGATTTGCGCATTTGATGCCTTTTTTCTATTTTCTCTCCAAAGGGGGCCCCCACGAAATTGTGCTGCCCTGGGCCCCGCAAAACTCTCGTCCGCCCCTGGTGGCAGGACTGTAATAGGGACAGGCATAGCGTGCAAGGAGGAGAATTCACACAGCCATGTGCTGCATCACATGGCTGGTGTTGTCACTGAACGTGCACTGTAAGTCTTCTGAATCATCTGGCTTCTCACAGCACCCCAAGGAAGGTTTCTGGGCATTGTTGGGAGAGGTGCTTGCTCCTAAAACTGGGATCTGTGATCACCTTAAAGGTTCAGGACAGAGCTGACCTGCTTGAGATCAGTGCCTGGACTTCTATTTGATTTATTTCCTTTGTGGGGAGGGAGTCTCCGGTCTCCATTTGGGCCACAGGATGTCGGCCACCTTGTAGCAGTGTTGGATGGGAACTGTGTTCCCCTATAGGAGGTGCTGTTTGTTTATTTCCCTTGGAAGACTGTTGAATGTGGAGAAGTGTTGAGTTTTCCCTGCTACTTGCATGACTTCTGCAAGAGAGAGAGATGGGCTGAATCACAACATCACATGGCCTGTCAAGCAACGTTCCCTCTAATTTTTTCCTTTTGTGTGCAGAATAAATGTTGTGATGTACACTAAGCATGTGTGGATGTGCACCACCAGTAGACTCACATGCTGCCAGCTGTGGGCGCTCTACTAATCAGAGGAGCAGCATTTGAATTTCTCCTGGGTGGCTGGATCAGCTTATAGGAAACACTGCTCCCAAGGTCCCCTCCAGCCTGATATTTCTATGTTTATATGATCAGAGCCAAACTCTCCTCCCCAATGCAGTGGAAGTTTGGATCTGGGTCCAAATTCTGTGACTCTGCCCTATCAATCATTTTTTATTTGTCCTTCATGTTTTAGCAGCCTGTCCTTAGGCACCTGTTCATCCACTTAAAACAAGAGCCTTTAGAGAATAGATTGTGTTGTCTGATCGACTAATACCCCATGGATTTTCTCCTGTTTCCTTTTGGAATTGTGTGCATCACATCCTGGGCTGTAATAAAACCCCATGAATTGGTGCTGGGCCAGCACATCCTTCCGCCCAAACCTTTTACCTGGACACGTGCCCAAGGCTGGACTTCTAAAAAGCAGTGGACTCTGGGTTGCATCTGTGTGGGGCTCCAGATTGCTGTGAGGTGGACCACATTTCCAGGTGCTTGCTGAAGGGAACAGCTGCCCAGCTGTGGACATGTGATCCCAGCAAGCTGGTCTCCTAGGGAAGGCTTCTGCGTTACCTCACGTGCAGGCAGAGTCTTGCCTGAGAGAAAAGTGGATTTATCCCAAAGCCTTTTGCCAACGTCATTTGCATGTTTCCCGTAGTGGGGGAGGCCCAAATCTGAATGGCTTCATCCTGTCACCAGCACCCAACGAATGGAGAGAAAACAGATCCTATAAGCACTGAATGGATCTCTCCCTCAGACGGCCAGGCTGCTAAGGGTAACGCTCAGGCCGTGTCTATTTTTTGAAATTAGCAAAGTTGACTTAACTCCCGATTTAACAAAATCGAACTTGTGTGTCCACACTGCAGGGAAGCCTCAAAATTAGTCCCAGGCAGGCTCCGTTAATGTGGACTCGCTACCTCGGACTTAGAACCCCAGGAAGCCCTGGGGAGTAATTCGTTCGAATGACTCTGGGGATGACTTATTTTGAAATAGTGATACCGGAGCGTCTACACTCCCGCTATTTCAAAATATCTATTTTGGAATTAGCATTACTGCTGATGAAAAGCAAGAGTATGGATTTCGAATTAAGCGGCCCATTATTAACTAACGGGCTGGGTCGTGTGGACGCTCTGCTTATAAATTCGACCTGAGGGGGGTTATTTCTAAATAAAGTCCTAGTGTAGGGCTCAGAGGCATGTGTGAGGGAGATAGTAACGGGACCAAGAAAGGCCCATCTTGGGCTCAAGGTTTGCTGGGCTTTAGAAGAGGCAAGCCAATGTGTGGGTGGTTTTGAGGTATCGTTATGACCCAGGATCCAGTTTCACCAGGGCGATGAGCAGGCACAGCTAATGCTGGCTGACAGTGGGAGGTGCCCCCATTTAGCTCAGTTGTACATTTTCCCTTTAGGGTCTGATTCTCCTCTTGTTCATGCTGTAACTTAACAGTTACTCCCTATTTACGTGAGTGTAAATGAAATCAGAAGACCCAGTGGGTGGTGGTTTTGCTCTATGTTGCCCTCGGTCAATACAGCCCAGTAACTAGCCAGTGACACTGACAGGAGATTGTCATTAATGTCCTCCCCTCCTTCCAATAGCTTTTCATTGGCCTAAGAGCAAAATCCACCCCAGATAATGTAGGATCCTGGAAATGGAATTCTCGGCTTTTATGGCAACTTCTGTACAGGAAACCCCAATTGGTGTGTGTGTGAATTTTCACCTCTCTCCTCTGTCTTTTGGAGCCCTCCTGATATTTGCCTTTCCAGGACAGTTTGGCTTTTCTGCCCATCACCTGTGTTTAGGCAACCAGCTGATTCCCCCTTTTTGCTGTTCTGATTACAGGGCGACCATAGATGAAGTGGAAACAGATGTGGTGGAGATAGAAGCGAAGCTGGACAAGGTAAGATAGAGAAGCTGAGGGAGAGGCATTGGGGGAGATGAGGGCGGGTCTTTGGGTTAGGGACGTGGCCACCCCATCTTATTCTGGGCAAAGGGCCCCTGCTCAGACGGTCAGGAAGTCATTGTTTGATATGCTGGCTTAGTGTATATGATCATGCTTTCCTGTTCTGGCTGTCTGCAGCCACGGCTGCTCAGCTGTACACAAGGGAGCTGGTTGCTCCCTTTTAGCTGAAATGCGGTCAGGAGAGCTCCACTTTATTGTGTCTCTGTTTCCCCTTCCACGGTGTGTTGCTCTTGTCTATTTGGACGGGGAGCGCTTTGGGGCCGGGATGTGTCTTGTGCGACGGCTGTGCAACACCTAATTCGGTGTAGCTGTCGCTTCAGCTATGGCCTCTCAGTGCCACTGTGACCGAAACAAACGTGCAGTGTTCGCCTGGTTATGATGTCTGTATGTACGCAGTCTCAGTTGGTTACAATAGTGCACATTAATGCAAAGCTGGGGTTCACCCATGGAGAGTGTGTGGTGTTCAACTGGGAATGGTTTTTCCCATGTTGCGTTGAATCTGTTTCTAGTGTTCTAAAGTCTTAAAAACCATTTGCTATTGTCACAGTCGGCTGAAATATTTTCCCTTGGGAGAGGATGTCTGGCCTATTGGTTAGAGCTCCACTGAGGAAGTTCAGGATTCCTGGATTCTACTCCAGTCTCTGCCAAAGTCTTGTTGTGCAACTCTAGCTTCTCTGCCCTGCCTTTCTTCCATCAGCAAACTAAAGATAACACCTATCATGCACAGACTTTCTGTAGCTTAATGAAGGTTTTTAAAGGGCTTTGAAGTTCTTGGATGAAAGGTGCTATCGAAATGCAAACTATTATCAACTATATATTTGAGTGAGTTTGTCTGTCTGTCTGTCTGTCTATCTATCTATCCGACATTTTTTGTGGGAGAGCAGACGTGCTCTTTCAGAAGCCCTGTATTCCTCTTCCAAAAAAAAAAAAATCGGAAAAAGGAACGCAGATTGCGCAGCGCAATTTGCGAACCTTTTTCCGAAAAAAAGCAGCAGTCTAGACGTAGCCTCTGTGAGTGAGTGTGTCTGTCTGATCAAGAACTCTTCCTAAATGGTAAGAGTCAGAACTACAAAATTTGGTAGGCAGCTTCATCTGAGAGTAACTTAAAGCAAGGACAGGATTTGGTTGTGCCAGGACAATGGGGGTATGTCTACATTAGCCACCCTAGTTCGAACTATGGTGGCTAATTTAGTCATTCGAACTTGCAAATGAAGCCCGAGATTAAAATACCCTGGGCTTTATTTGCATGTTCCCAGGCGCCGCCATTTTTAAATACCTGGTAGTTTGAACTCCCTGCTACACGCGGCACGGGCTAGGTAGTTCGAATTAAAGCTCCTAATTTGAACTACCGTTACTCCTCATTGCAGGTCTAAGACCTTGAGAGGTCATCGAGTCCAGTCTCCTGCCCTCACAGCAGGACTAAGCACTGTCTAGATCATCCCTGACAGATGTCTGTCTAACCTGCTCTTAAATATCTTCAGTGATGGAGATTCCACAACACCTCTAGGCAATTTATTCCAATTTATTCCTTCCCGACCAGCTGTGAGAGACCACAGCTGGGAGCTGCCTGGCCCAAGGGTTTGGGGAGGCCGTGCAGGCTGCCCACATGGTGGACAGCAATCTGCTACCTAAGGCAGACTGGGGTGTTGGCTGCTGCCGGCCAGTGGCTTCCTGCTGGGGTACTTGTTGCCCTCTGTGATAACTCCCTCCTGCCGGACCCCGCCCGTTCTATTTTATGAGAAACAATTGAATTCCAGACATATCCCATGATCCTGGCACAACCAAACCCTGACCTTGCTTTAAGTTAGGAGAAGAGGCAGCTGGCTCCCGAATGTGGTGGTCTTAGCTCTTATCGTTTCAGAGGAGTTCACCACTGGCCTCTGCTGGATAGAACCAAAACTGCACTGAAGCTAGACTTCCTGAGTCATAAGATCATCGTTTCCCCATTGGAAGTGCAAATCTGAAACTTGCTTGTCTACTACGCTTCCTCTCTCCTATTGTATGTGCATGCTTGTTATGGTAAGGGTGTGCGTGAGTGCTTAGCTTGGCATGGTTGATCTGTTTGATGGAGGGTTTCTTCTGCTGGGCATTACTCACTGACTGGTTTCTCTTACTGCATGTTTCTCTGGATGATGGGACTTTAATTTTAGACAACACAGCATTGAACCAAGTGCTAAACAAAAAAATGCATTCAAAGAAACAAAAAAGAAACACATGGATGTTGCAAAAAGATGTGGAAAAAGCAACAAGGCAGGTCAAAATTTCCTGCTTTTTAACCTCACTTGTGTCCCTTTAAAGTTTTCAAGTATCGGTCTGGCTGTGCTACTGCATCACTTGGGGAGGTCTCTATTACCAGCTATGGATCCAAAATCCTCCATCAGCAAAAACAGTTTTCAATATCCAGGCGCTTTAATGGAAAAGGAGTTGAAACAGTCTTGGATCCAAGTCAAGACACTTAGTGATATGAGATCACGTCATCCCTTCAAACATCTGAGGCATCAGCCACATTGTTTCTGAACCGAAGCACACAGGACAGAAATGTGGCAGAGGAACCAGCAACAGGTTTGGATTTTAGCAGGAGATGGTGTGCGGCTAGAAGGAGAGAGAGCTTCCGCATCAGACTCAGAGGTTGGCTTTGTTCACGCCACGAGCCCTAAGAAATTGGTAGCCTGCAGGAAATGAATAGGTGGTGTTAGTTTAGTTCCCAGTGCATAGGCACCTGTCTAAGTTAATCAGCCCCCATCATGGAAGTTGGAAAGAGCCCTGAATTGTCCACTGGCCCCTATTTTGTCCCTCTGAGGTAGGACTGAGGGACTTTAAGGCTGTGTCTACATTGGCGCGATCTTGCGCCAAAGCGGCCGCTTTTGTGCAAAAACATGCTGCCTGTCTACACTGGCGGGGAGTTCTTGCGCAAGAACACTGACGTTCTAATGTGTGAAATCAGTGCTTCTTGCACAAGAACTATGATGCTCCCGCTCAGGAATAAGCCCTCTTGCGCAACTGTTCTTGCACAAGAGGCCAGTGTAGACAGGCAACATGAATTTCTTGCGCAAGAAAGCCCGATGGTTAAAATGGCCATTGGAGCTTCCTTGCGCAAGAAAGCGTCTACACTGGCACCGATGCTCTTGCACAAAAGCACATCTCTTGCGCAAAGGCACATGCCTGTGTAGATGCTCTCTTGCGCAAATACTTTAATGCAAGAACTCTTGCGTTAAAGAGTATTTGCGCAAGATCATGGCAATGTAGACGTAGCCTAGCTGTACAGAGTCAAGGAAGCTCATTCTGATTATTTCATTAGTGCCATTATTTTGGCTAGTCTGTGGGTAAAGCCCGTTGGTTTCCAGACTTGTCAATCTGGAACACTTTGTTAGCACTAGAATTCTATGAACCGTCAGGACTCACAACGTCCTTGCACAGATGAATAAATAAATGCTTATGAGTTAAAAAGAGAGCGAATTAATTAGAGCTCCTGTGGCCAGGGACTGTCTTTGGGCACTCTCCAGACAGCAGTGATAGGCTGCTCTCCAAGCACCTTCCATGTGGAATGACAGGTCTCATGAAATCAGATCAGTTTTCATGCTGTTTCTACCGTCTTGCACCAAAATCTCCCGGGATGGCTACTCCTGGAGAACAGTCAGAGTCAGAAATTGGTCCACTCAGCTGGGAACCAAAACAAGTAAAGGGGAGTTTGGAGCCAGCAATTTGAAGCTAAAGGCTCCCATTGAAATTCAAAGTGGTTGTGCTTTGAGGGTTCGGTCTGGACCAAATTTTGTTCGTTTTGCTCACATTTAATAGCAATGTTTATATGGTCTGAATTACCAGGGTGCTTGAGGGTTTCACAGTCCTTAGTCCCCAGGGTGGGGCTGAGGAGGAGAGACTTGGGGCATAGGAGGGGTCTCTGGCTTTGGGGGGGGTGGGTCAGGGCTGAGGCAGGAGGGGCTGACCTTGAGTGGCTCCCGGTCAGCAGTGCAGCGGGGTGCAAAGGCAGTTTCCTGTTTCACCTGGCACCACAGCCCCAGCCAGCAGCAGGTTCCCAGCCACTGGGAGTGCGGAGCTAGTGCTCAGGGCAGGGGCAATGCACAAGCCCTGTGTGCTCCTCCTCCCCCCATATAGGAGCCAGGCCTGTTGCCGGCCACTTCTGGGGCGCAGCACAGTCTGCGGTGCCAGGACAGGCAGGGAGTTGCCTTAGCATCCCCGCTGGTCACCTGATCCCCTGACAGCAACAAGATCCAGTGCCCGACATTCCACCACCCTGTCCTGGGTCATGACAGTTTGAAAACCACTGCTCTATCCACTGGCAATCCTTCCTCCTTGGGAACACCTGGGCTGTATCTAGACTGGCCAGTTTTTCCGCAAAATCAGCTGCTTTTGCGGAAAAACATGCCAGCTGTCTACACTGGCTGCTTGAATTTCCGCAAGAACACTGACGATCTCATGTAAAATTGTCGGTGTTCTTGCGGAAATACCACACCCTTACTTGTACTGAATAGCACCTTATTCCACAGGGCTGTGTCTAGACTGGCATGATTTTCCGGAAATGCTTTTAACGGAAAAGTTTTCCGTTAAAAGCATTTTCGGAAAAGAGCGTCTAAATTGGCACGGACGCTTTTCCGCAAAAAGTGCTTTTGCGGAAAAGCGTCCGTGCCAATTTAGACGCTCTTTTCCGAAAATGCTTTTAACGGAAAACTTTTCCGTTAAAAGCATTTCCGGAAAATCATGCCAGTCTAGACACAGCCCTGTGGAATAAGGTGCTATTCAGTACAAGTAAGGGTGTCAGGATCTGGCTCTTAAAGTTTAAGACTGAACTCTCTGCCCTTCCTGTGGTTTGGTGGGTTTCTCAGTCTTTAATTGCTTTCTCCAGTTAGAGGTAGAAACAGTTATTTCTAAACTGTGCAAACCCGGCTACTGCTTTCCCTCTGACCTCAACTTTGCCTCCA